CTCGGCCTCCCAAAGTGCTGGGATTACAGGTGTAAGCCACCACACCTGGCCACCTCCCTCCATCTATTTTTCTAATCACCACTTTTACATGTTTCTGTCGAATCAGATCTTAATGTGATTTTGTTTAATAGAGTATGATAAATTTTAGCATGATAACTTTATCATATAAATATCATAGATTCTCAGCCAAGAATTTAGTTTTTGACTCCAAAGTAGAAACCTGGTTTCTATACATCAAGTTTTAAAGATAGACAAAAATCTGGTGATACCCACCTTTAAAAGTAAAAGTAGATGAGGTCTCTCAGCCCCTGGTGAAGCATTAAGTTACTTTCCCAGAGTGATACTTTTAATTCTTCTGATAAATTTGATGAATTTATCAGATAATTTATCTGACTCGGTATTATGAAATAGCATTATGGTTTTTGAGCCCCAAAATGCTAGGAAATGCCACTTTAGGAGCTTTGGATGAGTCATTTAATCTTTTTTGATAACAGGGCTAAAGTAGATAATTACACTGTCTGTTCTCCAGCTATAAAATCTCATGGTTACTGAATGTGAAATTTGGAAAGCATCTCATTTTCCAGAACTCTACTAGCATCTCAGCAGTTTCACTCTGCTTCTTCTGTGGTTTCGAATTTTGGTTCCTGCATTTCAGCAGGCACCTTCACATTTTTGAAGTCTAGGATCCGAATGAATAAAGAAAGATAAAAGACAGTGGGGAAAGCTTACCCAGAGAGGGAAAAGCTTCCTTTCTGTTCCTGAAGCCCCACAATGTCACATTCTCTAAATCTGGCCATTCAGTGTAAACTCCAGGAGGTAAAAATAGAAGAGGACAGATTTCATGCCTTTCTCCTTTTGTTTCTCTATTTCTGCTGGTCACAAAATGGTGAAAATTTATATTAGCAAAGAGTGGATGGGAATAAAAGCACAAATTTGGAATGGACCCTTTTTGAAAGTTTGGAAAACTTTGTTGTATTCACTCAAACAGAAATGAATTAGACTTTATATAAATTTCAATGGAAAAATTATAACTTATGCTAATAATTATATAATGATAAAATGGAAGTCCAAAGTATTTTAATGACTATTATCATGACAGACTGAGTCAAGCGACAAAATGAATGAACAGTTTATTCTATTGGATGAAATAATGACATTTATTCTCAGTGTCACACTTTCATTGAAGGTTGCAGAAAAAATGAGAAAGTGCAGAAATAAGAAAATGGAAGTGTCAAGATACCTACATGCTGATGACAGTGACGATGATGATGATGATGAATTAATTCAAGAAAGAAGGGGCAGGAAATCTGATGATCATCAGTTTCCCAGGCAGAAGAGGGAAGAGTACAATAGGTAAGCCTATAGCACTATTTGATAGTACATTATTGTTATTGTACTATCAAATGAATTCTAATTTCAAATAATATGCATGATTAATGAATTTTATACTTTCACCGGGAATATTCTGTCTTACGTGGTAATCAGAAAAATGCAAATTAACAGGCAATTAGATACAGTTTTTCCAAGCATATTGGTGTTTTATTAAAACATAACTAGTGTGGGCAAATGTGAAAAAAGTTCTCTTGTACACTTATTTGGTAAATATGTAATTTAATAAATTTGGTAAATATGTAATTTAATGAGTAATTTAATAGCATGTATCAAAATTTCAAATATGTCATTCCTTTAATGTGTCAGCTTTACTTCTGAGACTGGATCCTGCAGGAAATACGACTTTACACATACACACAAGTTATGGACATTTATTACATGTTATATATAACATACAATCAGCCAACATATATATTCTGATATATGTATCTGTGTATGTGTGTATGTTTCCCTACTGTATGTTACATATATACGTTGGCCTATTGTATGTTTTATATATATATGTTGGCTACATGCATATAGATATACATACATGCACACATATATGTCTTATGTATTTCTATGTGTATGTTTGTAACATGTTTATGAAACATCTTAAGTATAACAAAAGTATGTTAAGGATATTAATATATACTACATATACATTGAAGAATTTTCATTATAGCATTGTCATATCAAAAAGCTGGAGATAGTCTAAAATCCTATTAATAAGGAAATGGGTAAATTGTGATACCCATTAAATAATGTAGTATGCAAGTCTCTTTCAAAAATGAGGTTGGATCTATAATATACTGATTATTTCATCAGTTAAGTATATTTACATTTAGTTTGATAACACAACTTAAGTAAATTTTGTCAGAATATAATGTTGTAATGTCTTAATACTTGTAATATCTATTGAGTTGCAAAAGGAAACTACATGCTACCTTGGCACTTCACGTTACCAACAAAATTGCTAGTTACGACATTTGCTTTTTTGTTCTCAATGCATGAGTGCTCAAATATTGAATTCTCAGAATAATCTGAATATTCCCAAGGGATTGCAATGGGGATCTGTATTCCATGTAAATATTCAGC